GAATAAATAAATAAATAATGTAATTTTTTTTTGTATCATATTAATGGAAAACAAGAATACGTAAACGGTAACTGTAGCTTATGGACGCTTGCAACACTAGGATAGTCACGCGCTGCTGACCCTGAAGAAACCTTAACATACTCTTATTGTAAAATCCCATACTCTCATCTCTAGGGAAAACCTCGGTAGGGAGCTCATTGCATAGTTTAAACGTGCGCGGGAGAAAATACCTTTGCTACTGTTATTAAAAAAAAAAAACAGATTTTCGAACGAAGAATTTAAATTTGAAAGTATATAAAAAATGTTGCCATAGAATATATAAAAAAAGTGTTACTGCATTTCGAATTGCATAAATAAACAGCAAAAAAAAAATGAATGAATACTCTTTCTATGCTTACAAAACGGCGAATCTCTGTAGTGCATCGAAAAATAACTAGAAAATGGCGCGCGAAGTGATTACATTCGGTTTGAGTATTTCTAGGGTTCCGTACCAAAATGGTGTAAACGAACTAGTATTTTGCATTCGAAATTTGGGAAAAATTTTAAGTTGGTACATCCATGTGGTAAAGGAAAACGTTTATAAAACATTTTTGTATTATTTGAATACTTAATACGCTTATTAAAAAAAGGTCAAACTTTTATAAACTTAATTTAGCTATTGAGGTATTTTCTTTTTTTGTTTTGCGCTAAATTCTCAATTTAAAAGAAAGTTTTTTGTTTATATACAACTTAGAATGGCAGACAAGCTGACGGCCCACCTGATGGAAAGTGGTAACCGTCGCCTATAGACATGAGCAGTACCATGCACATAACTGAGTATACTGTTTCGCCCATGATACCCCTATGCGTTGCCATTCCTGAGGACTCAGGTGTTATTCCTCTGTACCCTGTAAATTCACGCCATATCCCACCCTAAAAACCGAAACATAGTTAGCAAACACAACTGCTTCACGGTAGAAACACGAATGGGACACAGGTACCCAAGCAAAACAAAGTGACAAAACAAAAACTAAATTAGATCTAGGACATATTAGTTTTTATAAATAAGAGGCTATGATTAGTCTAAATTGGGAATTAATTTAGATTTTCTATACAATATATGTTATATGATCTAAAATATTTAACGTTTTTATAGAGATATGTGATATATATGTAGGGAAAATATAACAATGTCTCTAGTAAGACGAATTTTTGAAAAATTTTTGAAAAAACTTTTTCATCGAACTTATAATTGAAAATGATTAATTGTAGTAACAATAACAAGAACATAACGTGTCTGTTTCATAAAAAAAAAAAAACAATAAATATGTAATTAACGCAATGTAATTTTATTTCATACCGTGTATACATTTAGCCATTTCACGCGACGTTGCTCGCTTCTATATAGTTTTCGTATATCATTCCCATTGGCACTCGTCATGAATCTGGTCTTATATTGTATTATACACTTAAATGATAATTACGTACCTAATACCTTCATAAAGTTGCAGCCAATTCAACTGATCGGTTATTTTATAGCATTTTATATGTGATTCTTTAGATTGATATAACTTTTTTATTTATTAACCGATTGAAATAAAACAAACACTTAATGTCAAGTGAAGTAAACCGTAATACTTTAGTATAAATTGCATGGAAATCAGTTAATTCGTTTCTGAGATTTGCGTGCACAAATGTACAGATGTTGATGTACCTCCCCATTACATTATATTTATTTATAATTTATAATAATTTAAGTGCAATTTCCTTTTATTTATATTATATTATTATTAATATTGTTAATATCTTCACTCATATAATAACATTTAATAATTTGTGTCTGTTTTAATGTCTACCAAACACAAGGCATGCTGTGGTTGCCTATAAATGTAAGAACAGTAACATCTAATCTGCCAGTGTATTGTATTAAAATGTTTAGCTATATCTTATGTTGGTAATTCTATAAATAAATAAATGAATAAACAGATAGTAATTCTAAAAATCATTGTTTTGGATTCTATAGCGTTCATAAAGCCTCCCTATGATAGTTTTGCTTATACCTATATCTTCCATGTACAGACAGCGACCAGATACGATTTTATTTTATGTATTGATTGATTTACATATTATAGAAGAAAATCAAAGCCTATTTAAATATTTTTTTAAGTACTTCTGTTGTACGTAATCCTCAATGAGTTCAATTCGCATTTGGCTTGTTTTATTTACGTCTTTGATTTGTTTGAAACAATAAAACACAAACGTGTTTGATTGTTTGATCCAAACTATGTTCAGCAGTGGACAGCTAACGGCCGATACGAAATTATATAGAGTAATGTGTCTAGTGTGAATTTACTTAACTCTGTGAAGCGTAGAAAGGTCAGCCGGTCCGTAATAAATCTATGCTTTAATTATTATGTTTGGAGAGTAGTTATGAAGGAATCCACATAGTTGTTACTGATATTATATATGTGAAAGTGAGTTTGTTTGTTACTTTATAGCTCCTTAACAGCTTAACAAATTACTATGAAATTTGTTATGTACATACTGTGTGGGTTGCGGAAGGTATAGATTTTTTTATTTCAATCACGACGAAGTTGCGGGTAAAAGTTAATATATTTATTTATTCATTAGTACATATATGTGTACATGGCGGACTTAATGCTAAAAGCATTCCCTCCCAGTCAACTATAGGGAAGTGTCAGAATACTCGAATGCGGTACTACTAATTATTGATATACATACATACTAAAATTGTATATATAAACGATTAATATATATAAATAACAAATATACTGACACATATATGACATATACTATATTATACATGAGAATAATGTAAAGTTTTTTTTTTATACAAGTAGAATGGCAAACAAGCTTACGGCCCACCTAATGGAAAGTGGTAACCGTAGCCTATAGACATGAGCAGTACCATGGACATAACAGAGTATACTGTTTCGCCCATGATACCCCCCATGCGTTGCCATTCATGAGAACTCAGGTGTTATTCTATATCTTAATTCAATATTGCTTCATAAACACGAATGGGACAGATGTAATCAAGTACTCATCTATACTATATCTTAATTAATATTATAAATGTAAATGTAAGTTTACTTGTCTGTTTGTTACCTCACAGCGCCTTAACAGATTAATCAATCACTGAGATATTTAGTATACGAGTACACGTATGGGATGAAAAAGGATGTAAGTTACTTTTTATCCCTGTCAATGAATATATCCTGGTCACGTAGACAAAGTCGCAGGTGAAAACTAGTACTGGTAGACAAAGGAATTTAATAATTGTAGTAGAAGTAAGAGGGATCGTGAATTAAATTGCAACATTCCAGGAATGATTACCTTTCTCCCTTAATATATATATATATATATATATATATATATATATATATATATATATATATATATATATATGTATACTTATATGTTAATTTACATCAATTAACAATAGCCTAATGTGAGTTAATTTATTAAACAAATTTAATGAAATATATAAAATAATACAATTCAGGGTTTTATTTTAAACGTATGATAATAGAATGATAACATCGCCTGCATTAACGATATACGAGATGTACAATATACGACATACCAGAGGCAGACTTTGTACAAAAGTCGATTGCTTGGGTGCCTCTGTCCCATTAAGCAGTTGTGTTTGCATAGCTGTGTTTCGGTTTGAAGGGTGGGATATGGCGAGAATTTACAGGGTACAGAGGAATAACATCTGAGTCTTCAGGAATGGCAACGCATGGGGGGGTATCATGGGCGAAACAGTCTACTCTGTTATGTCCATGATACTGCTCATGTCTATAGGCGACGGTTATCACTTTCCATCAGGTGGGCCGTCAACTTGTCTGCCCTTGTAAGTTGTATACAAAAAAAAAAAGAAGAGAATTTGTTTTATATCACAGGTGGCAAATGAGCGTGTGATCCACCTGATGGAAAGTGGTAGCCGTCGCCTATAGACATGAGCAGTACCGTGGACATAACAGAGAATACTGTTTCACCCATGATACCCACATGCAGTGCCATTCCTGAGATTAGTCCTCAGATCTCATTCCTCTGTACCCTGTACATGTACATTTGTTTATTATAGGTTAGAGGAAGGGACTTTTATTTGAAATCTTGGTTAATTCTTGTGGAATTTGTCAGGATGGGCTCACTCTCCTGCTTGAGGGAAAAGGGATTGTTAGCAATGGAGTTTGACAGCCCATTGCTATCAATATGCCCTATTAGGTCGACCTCCACGTGGTTCCCCCTGGAAACCATCGTGAACAATTCTTGTTGAATTCGTCACGATGGGCTAACTGACCTGCTTCACCCTCATCTATCACCCCTCACTGGTGCCCCGCCGGTGTATAGCGATAGTGAGGATGGGGTTACCATTCCATTATGACTTATTGTAATATATGGGGTCACGTTGAGCTATTCTCAATTATTTAAAATTAATATTTATAATAAATTACTATTTTTAAGCAGCCACTTTGCTTATATTAATCCTGCAATAGTTTATTTTTCAAAAGTTTTCTTCGCGAAAACAACATAAAAATTTTAATGGTGAGGAAATTGATATGCAACTAACAAGGGAATACTTTCTAAAAATAATTTAGATTTAACTTTCTAAAAATAATTATCAAAATCGGTTTAGTATTGACAAAAATATCTCACCTAACAGACTTCTTAAAGTGAACAGACATGAATACAGACTTCTTAACGTGTCTTAGAAGTAAAAATACATTAATCTTTTTTATAATTTTTTTTTTAATATTAAGTTCCGACCAACTATTCTCATTCTCATGTAAAAAATAGTTATAAATATCCAAAATTAAATCACAGAAGCACAATTGTTATACTTCTGTTACAATTCGTCAACAAAAAAAAAATAACAATCACAAATAATTATTGTTACATAGAAAATGACCAAAAATAACATTTAAAAGAATCAATAACACGACTAGCTTCGCTCCGTAGCCGGCTACGTAGGGATGCTACGTTAGTCGTCTGGGAGCCGTAGAGCGCGGTGGACGTGCCGTAGCGTCGTAGCGCTTAGCAGTCCCGTGATACAAATTGTGATCGGAAAAATGTGATACTGCTAAATGAAATACTTGCTCAATATAATCCTAGTGGCGTTTTGAGTGTGTGAAAAAAATGGAGTTGAAGACTTGTCTGCTGTTATTTTTCTTCATCTGTTCAACGGCTGGGAATCCGGCAAAAATGGGTCAGTACTATTAATAAATAATTTAGTTTCTGCGTGGTTACCTTTCTGTATTGGCAGTTTGACGGATGAACAAGAAATTACTGTTATATTTCCCTTACTTTTTTGTGTTAGATGTTATTTAATTTAGACGCCTATTCCTAAGTTCACTACTACAATAAAATCATGTAACTTATTATTTTATTATTAGGTTTACAGTATTACAACATTAATTTTATCCTATTTATATAAGGATGTAATTTAATGAAATTAAATTAGTTTCATTAATTTATATATATGTATATGTAAGTAAATTCAAAAAACAATATAATATTTATATAGTGATTCGTTTCTACAATAAAAAATCTAAAGCAGTTTTTTTTTTAATATTTATTATCACAATGCAATTTTTAAATTAAATGTACTTTTAATGTGAACAAAATTATAACATCTGTTTATTGGATACATACGAGTATTAATAGAATTTAAGAAAATATGAAATTGATTTTCAACTAGTTGCTCGTGACTTTGCATGCGTGGTATCGTGTTTTCCATTAAAGGTGAAATTTTCAAAAATCTTTTCTCAGCGAATGCCCACGTTATAAAAGTAATATCTTTACATATTATTAATTTATATATGTACTGTGTTTCAAATATTAGCTTTCTATATTTAATAGCTTGGGTTGTGTCTTGATACTCAATCAGGATAAACAATTTTGTAAATATAAAATTAATCTATGTTAAAATATAAATATACTAAAATACTAAAACACATCAAAATCCTTTGGGCAAGAACCTCGCACAAGAACTAGTAGTAATATTATTATATTGGGGGGAAGGGATTGTTATTAATACGGACTCTTTGCTAGTAATATACCTTCTGTCAAGTCGACCTCTACGAGGTCCCCTTGAAAACTTCAAGGCACTTTCTTCCACGCATAACCACTCTTTGGAATCAACTTCCAGCAGCAGTATTTCCGAACCGATATGACAACGTAACCTTCAAGAAAAGAGTATGTGGTGTAGGGCCCTTTGATGACTCCTAGGCCCTCACCAACTCTGTATTTATCCGAGGTTCACTAATGTTTGCTGATGGTGGGTATACAGTAAAAAATGAACTTACGCATACACGGAGCGAATGCAGTTTTTAGACAATAAAATGATTTATTTGCGTAGCCCACAAGCACATAAACAATGACAATACAATGTAGGTGAGATTATACAAATAATAATTTAAATATAGGCAAACACAGTGCATACGTAATACGCGCATTGGAGAGTACCCGCAAAGTTAGCCGCGCTGCCAAAAAACGTTGCGGCCGCAGTCGGCCGCTATCTTCATGCACTTCGCTTACAGTGTTGCCGCAATGTTTATAAGCGGAGCGGAATTAATGAATTATTAGAATGTTTATATTATTTTTAGTTTATATTATTTTTAGTTTATATTATTTTTAGTTAATACTATTTTTAGTTTCGATTATTCTCCGCTACATCTTCCCCCCGACCAGACCGTGACTACGGTCGATAAAAATCAGGAAATTGTACTCTTCTGCCACTTCTTGTTCTCTTTTCTTCTACGAAAGTTTTGGTCGCAGATGGAAGAGGTGATGACTGCGTAGGTGGAAGTTCTTTAATTTGAGGTTCCTTCATTATGTAAGCTGGCTTTAGTCTGTCTATAGTGACATTGGTTTTCTTGCCTTGGAGGTCTAAGGTAAAGTACCTTCAAGAAAAGAGTATGTGGTGTAGGGCCCTTTGATGACTCCTAGGCCCTCACCAACTCTGTATTTATCCGAGGTTCACTAATGTTTGCTGATGGTGGGTATACAGTAAAAAATGAACTTACGCATACACGGAGCGAATGCAGTTTTTAGACAATAAAATGATTTATTTGCGTAGCCCACAAGCACATAAACAATGACAATACAATGTAGGTGAGATTATACAAATAATAATTTAAATATAGGCAAACACAGTGCATACGTAATACGCGCATTGGAGAGTACCCGCAAAGTTAGCCGCGCTGCCAAAAAACGTTGCGGCCGCAGTCGGCCGCTATCTTCATGCACTTCGCTTACAGTGTTGCCGCAATGTTTATAAGCAGAGCGGAATTAATGAATTATTAGAATGTTTATATTATTTTTAGTTTATATTATTTTTAGTTTATATTATTTTTAGTTAATACTATTTTTAGTTTCGATTATTCTCCGCTACATCTTCCCCCCGACCAGACCGTGACTACGGTCGATAAAAATCAGGAAATTGTACTCTTCTGCCACTTCTTGTTCTCTTTTCTTCTACGAAAGTTTTGGTCGCAGATGGAAGAGGTGATGACTGCGTAGGTGGAAGTTCTTTAATTTGAGGTTCCTTCATTATGTAAGCTGGCTTTAGTCTGTCTATAGTGACATTGGTTTTCTTGCCTTGGAGGTCTAAGGTAAAGTACTTGGGTTGCCTGTTAAGAACTTTAAAAGGGCCAACATATGGTGCTTCCAAGGAACTACGAACTCGATCTTGCCGCAGGAACACGTGAGATGAAGTAGATAAATCTCGTGGTATGTAAAATGGCGATGATGTAGATGTGTGCCATGAAGTCGGTCGTGGTGTTAACTTGGTCATTTGAGAACAAAGACGGTTAGCGTACTCGGTGACATCGGATGTTGTGTAGTCATCTTTGGGAGACAAAAACTGACCTGGCAAATGGATTGGTTCACCATAGACCAGTTCTGCAGGAGATGTTTGAAGGTCTTCTTTATAAGAACTGCGCATCCCGAGAAGTACCAGAGGTAAGGATTCAGTCCAATGTGATGATGTATGGCACATTATCGCCGCCTTCAACTGACGATGAAGTCGCTCGACGATTCCATTGGCTGCAGGATGGTAGGCGGTGGTACGAAAGTGATGAGCACCAATCAAGGCAGTGAGAGCTTTAAAGAGGTTGCTCTCAAATTGACGACCTCGATCTGTAGTCACACGAGCAGGACAGCCAAACCGCGATATCCAGCCAGATACTAGGGCTGTCGCGCAGGTTTCTGCAGTGATGTCCTTCAAGGGGAATGCCTCAGGCCACCGGGTGAAGCGGTCGATGACGGTGAGACAATACCTGTAATCACACGAAGGAGGTAATGGACCTATAAGGTCAAGGTGGATGTGTGAAAAACGAGAGGAAGGAGTGAGGAATGTGGCAGGAGGGGATTTGGTATGTCGGGTAATCTTGCTTTTCTGGCATTGCAAGCATTGCCTAGCCCACTCTCTACATTCTTTACGAATCCCTGGCCACACAAATCTTTGAGTAACCAACCGTACTGTAGCTGAACCTCCAGGATGATGTAAATTGTGGATCATGTCAAAAACTTGTTTTCGCAGCTGTGGAGTAACATAAGGCCTAAGATTCTGCATAGATGTGTCACAGTAGATAGGTAAGTGACAGTAATCAGTACTAATCTTCTTGAGTTCTAGAGAAGTACCATGGTTTAACAAGTCTTGCAGTTCTGGATCATTCTCCTGAAATTTTGCAAGGTCCTGATAATTGATGAGTGCTGAGATTTCGTCAGTACGAGATAGTGCGTCTGCTACGACATTTTTGTGTCCAGGTAAGAATCTCAAGTCTGTAGTAAATTGTGATATGAAATCAAGATATCGGAACTGTCTGGGGCTGCATTTCTCTTTATTATTGACGAATGCAAATATGAGTGGCTTATGATCGGTATAGATAGCGAACGTTCTGGCTTCGATCATATGCCGAAAGTATTTAATCGCTTCGTAAACTGCCAAGAGTTCTCTATCATACGGGCTGTACTTTCTTTGAGATGTAGTGAGCTTGTGGGAATAGAATGCCAAAGGTTGCCAATTATGATCTATCCGTTGTTGGAGAACAGCTCCTATCGCTAAGTCTGAGGCATCAGTGACGATTGCTAATTCGGCAGATGGATGGGGATGGGCAAGTAAGGTTGCATCTGAAAGCGATCTTTTGCAATCATTGAAGGCTTGTAGGGCATCTGCTGTCAGCTCAATTGGATGAGAGCCTTTGATCTTTGGACCAGCGAGCAAATCATGCAATGGCGCTTGGAATTTAGCTGCCTTAGGGATGAACCGGCGGTAGAAGTTGAGCATTCCTAAAAAACGTCGGAGTTCTTTGACGGTCTTGGGTGCAGAGTAGTCCTGGATAGCTTTTATTTTACTCTCCAAAGGCGTTGTTCCAGCAGCGGATACGTTATACCCTAGAAAAGTGACACTTCCTTGTCCAAGCGAGCATTTCGAGGTATTCACAAGTATGCCAAACTTCTTAAGACGGTCAAATAGCTGACGTAGATGACTCTCATGTTCTTCTTTACTTCTCGAAAATACTAGAATGTCATCAATGTAGCCATAGCAAAAGTCTAGACCTAAAAGAACTTCGTCAATGAACCTTTGGAACGTCTGAGCAGCGTTTCTAAGTCCAAAGGTCATGTATGGGAATTCATACATTCCAAAAGGTGTTGTAATAGCTGTTTTAGGGATGTCATCAGGATTCATTGCTATTTGATTATAAGCTTTCACGAGGTCTATCGTTGAAAAGACTGAACAACCTGAAAGCTGATAGGAGAAATCGTGAATATGGCGTATAGGATACCGGTCTGGTATAGTTCTAGCATTCAGTGCACGGTAATCACCACACGGACGCCATCCTTCGTCCTTCTTTTTAACTAGGTGAAGAGCAGAAGACCATGGACTTTCTGAACGTCTGGCAATACCACTAGCCAGCATATCTGCAAACTCTTTCTTGGCTGCTTGTAACCGAACTGGATCAAGGCGACGAGGCTTGCAAGATACTGGTTGTCCGGGCGTTGTGCGAATATAGTGGAGCGTTTTGTGTTTAGGTGGTGAAAATACACCTGCAGGACGAGTTATCTCCGGATATTCTCGAAGGATATGATGGTAATCAGATTGACCTGTAATGGATTTTATAGATGTGACGTCTTCTGTTATCTTAATGGCGATTGCGTTTACTGACATGGATGTCAAACCATCTATCAGTCGTTGTCCTCTAC